TAGTTGCTTTGAAAACTCAGATTCTAGGACCACAGTACCTAGGTTTATATCATAATCATGCTACCGAAAAGCTATGTAACCTTAAAGTCACATAAACTATCTGCACCTAATTTTCCTCTCTAGCCAAATGCAGATAATAATAATGTTTTATGTTGATAGTAGAATGTAAGTTATTTTTATTTTTTACTGTTACAGTAATACAATAAATAGAGGTCAAAACAACTCACATCATGCAGGTATAATTTATTATCGGTGTTATTCACCCCTCAGTATTCTCCACTATTGTAAGATCTTATTCTGAGAATCACAAGACGATCAAAATTGTGTTTCCATGAACAACAGCTCTGTGTCTGAAACCAGAGGTAGAAAATGGGAAGCTGTCTGAGGATAAAGATCTGTTTGTTGAGTCTGAAAATGTCACCATCCGGTGTGACTCTGGCTACGGTGTGGTCAACTCTCAGAACATCACCTGCTCTGCAAACAGAACCTGGTACCCTGAGGTGCCCAAGTGTGAGTGGGTAAGTGGAACACATATCAGGGAGCTTTATCACATTCTCCAGAGCATTGTCCCAATCAACACTGATGAGCTCTGACTTTTGTCAGGAATCGTTTCTGAGTTGTTTAAATCACTTTTGGAATCAGCAATTCCACCCTCAAAGCCCGTGGTGAGCTCATTAAGGCAAGTTCTAACTCTCTCAAGTTCTAATTCTCTCATTTAATAGCAAGAAAACCTACGCCCCTAGATAGGAGGGCAGGGTTCCAAAGACCCAGGTAACCTGGGACCAGCCCTGTATTTTCTACCATAAGTGCTATGCTTGTGCATCGCCATCAACACCATCCCTTCTGGGGTCCCTGAAGAGGGCCCCTGGTTGTCTTCTGCAGCACTGTTCCTCCCCTGCTACATTGGTCTGGAATCATTCTCTGATGTTTCTCTGATTTACGCCCTCATATCTTGGATTTCTTCCATCCATCCTGCGGAGGGTCCTGATACTCCACTTTTGTTGTCATCAGTGAGGCATCCTGAAGGAATCTTCTACTTCCAACAGTTTGGAGAGAAATTCTCTCAAAATCCATCCTTTTATCTCTTTTAGGAAGTCCATAATGGCTGTGAGCAAGTGGTAGAAGGCAGCAAACTCATGCAGTGTCTCCCAAGCCCCGCGGACGTGAAAATGGCCCTGGAGGTGTACAAACTGTCTCTGGAGATTAAACGACTCAAGCAAGAGTAAGACTTGAAGAGGAACACCCGTTAGAAATCAGTACAACATAAACCGATGAACAAAAACAGATCTAGACAGGAAGCATCGATCAGACCCTCAAATCTCAGAGGAAAGGTAGGGGAGGGTGGGGGTAAGGGGGAGAGATCAACCAAAGGACTTGTATGCATGCATATAAGCATAAGAGATGGACGCAGACAACAGGGGGTGAGGGCGAGGGCAGGACTGAGGGGATGAGGGGACAATGGGGGTATAAAGACACATTTGTAATACCTTAATCAATAAAAATAAAAAATAAAAAGAAATCAGTACATCGCTTTCCCCTCACTCATCACCCCCCAGTAAAGCATTAAGTACATTTCTTATTAGCAAGTCTACTGTACCTTAAGTATTATTTACTGGGGAAAAAACAAACATCTGTTTTAGAAGAATCTTAGTGACACTGATAATGTGGAACTATTGATCATTTGTATCTTAGCTCATATTAAGCTCTGTTTTCCTGGATTTGGTGGAACGGCAGAAATAAATAATCACCTGTCAAAAATTCAGTGTCTTTGTTTCCACTTTAATTCCTGTGTAATGAAAAATTAGGGTCCTCTATGAATTATTCTCTGATTTATGCCCTTTTCCCTCTTACCATATTTCAGGGTACATGTGGTCCTCAGAAATACATGTTTGTGCCTTGTCTGAGGTGTCTTTACCCTGCAGCTTCACTTCCTACTCATCCTTCAATGCCCAGGTCAAATATCACATCTTCCTCCACGTCTTCTCCTTTCTCTCCCTATTTGCTCACCAGTATTTCTCTGGAACAATTTCTCACTTCCTCTTTGTATTTTTAGCTTCACTTGGTTTTGCACAACTTTCCTTCCATTCAAGAATAACTAGCTTGAAAGTCTTTGAAGGCCTGATCTATGTGCAACCCAAACATTCCTGTTGGGCATGCCCAAGTCTTCCAATTGCATCTAACCACTTTGGAAATATGTCTATTAAAATGGCTTTAGTGTCTCTTTTAAGTCAGATTCCCCAGAAGCAGACACTGAGAAGAGGATTCGTGTACAAGCAATTTATTAAGAAATGGGAAAGGAGGTAGGGAGAGCGGGGACCGCTAGGGAAGGAGCCTAGCAAGGTGATCAGGCAAAGAGAATGGCTTAGCCTTGTCCCAAAGGGAACTCTCAACTATGAATTTGCTTGAGCTCTGTCCCAATTCCAGGCAAAGAAACTGGGCTTTCATTCCGCTGTACCCGTCAGTTATTGGTAAATGGCCACTCTGGAGGCCCAGAAGCCCCCAGGACACCCCGCTCTCTCTATGTGGGGACAGAGCTGTCCAGCAGCCAAGAGAGTAGAAGGCATGGCCTTTAGAAACCAAAGCACAGAGAAGCCGGCAGGGGAGTGCACAGAAATGGTAAAAGAGATGCGAGGGCCTGGGCGGCGCTGATTTCATGAGTCCCTCTTATATCTCTGGATATTCTTGGGCGCCTTATATTTCCAACAGTCACCATTTCTTCCAGTTTTTTGACTCCTTTGAAATCTCATTCTCACTCATGCTTCTTACTCTGGCTACCTTCTGTTCGCCACCGCCCCTTGATTAATAATGGAGAACATCGCCTCTTTCCTTGATTTCTGCAAAATAACAGTTATACAAGAAAGCTGTGTAGCCCCGGCAGTGTGGCTCAATGGTTGAGCGTGGACCTAGGAACCAAGAGGTCAGGGTTAGATTCCTGGTCAGGGTACATGTGCGGGTTGCCGGCTTGATCCCCACTAGGGGGCGTGCAGGAGGCAGCTGATTGATGATGTTTCTCTCTCATTGATATGTCTGTTTCTCTCCTTTCCTTTCTTTCTAAAAATCAATAAAAACATTTTTTTTTTAAAAAAGAAAGCTGCATAGCTGACTTTTACTAAAGCTTAGAGTTAACAGAGGGGTATGAGGTTGGCTACAACACTAGACTTCCACAATGCATGTGACATAACTAATCGGAAAAGACCATTGCCTTCCGCTGCCATCAGGAATATTATCTGGCTGACTTTCTCTGCATGACCCTGCCAGCCTCCGGGCTGGTCTGATCTGCCACTTTCCCCCCTCAAATCTCTCCTTGACACACGTGATCCATTCTTGCCCCCACTATCCCAGGAACCCATTTCCCTTTATTAGGGAAAGGATTTTAGCTCTTGGTCTTTCCCTAGTCTCAGGGATTTATATCCAAAAACTTATGAATAGACTCAAATAAACAAAGGGCCGTCCATTAGGTTTGAGCACCACACTGTGGAGATCTAGAGGAATCTCTGAAATATGAGTCTTTCTGTATTTCCTCACCCTCAAGTCTCTGTGGGGGGCAGTATGGAGACATTTTCACAGGGATGTGAATTATGTCAATTTTTTTCCTAAATTAACTTCACATAATTACAATGATAAAACTAATACGTGTATGTGCAAGCAATAATTCAAAGAGGGTGGTAAAAAATAAAAATAAAATTCCTCTCTTTTTGTGCCTCAGTCCTACAGTTCCTGCTGATTAGCTTAGCCCCCCTGAAAAGGATACACACACTATATCATTTGACTTTTTATCTCTAAGCCATGTATTTAAATTTCTTGCTATAAAATTATCACTCTAGCTCCTGCCCTGCCCTCTCCCCACTCTCTCTCTCTATTGGTCAGTCTCATTTATTTATTTTTCTTTTATTGATTACTTATTTTCATGGCGTTAAGTAATGTATTTAAACCTGTACTATTTATGCAACTTCATTTTTGACAATTTACTATTTTATTAAAGCAATACATAAAATAATTTAAAAATAAAATAATCCAAGAAGACTTACAATGAAAACTCTAGTGTTCCAACTCATTTAATCTTATCCTTTGGTTTTATCCTCCCCCCCTTCCCCTCCCAGTAAACACTTCAACTCCTTTGGCTCTTATGATATTTATCTATATATTTCTAAATAATATTCTCATTCTGCATATATTTATTATTGTTAAGCATTATGTATTTGTGGAGAGTGGCTACAGCGTTTGGACAGGTTCAAGCCTCGGACTAATGAGAGGGCACAATCCTCTCGTGGGAAAGCCACGTGTAAGTCCCAGCACAATTATAGCCACAGGCTAGAGTTGTAAGCTTGACCTTATGGTCCGAACCTGTGGTCCCACGTGGCTGAGTGATGTGGGCTGTGGGAGGTGCAGCAAGTAAACAAAGCTTGATCAGGTGCATGTAATTGAGTAGATTCGAAACCCATGAAAAACGTTGTAACCACGCCCTTACTTTGCCTCGTGGAAACTGGCTATAAAATAAAGATTCGGCTTGCAGGCCATGGCGCTGTCTCTCCATTAGAGAGGGCAGTGTCCCACCCAGACCCAGCTTTCTTCTCTTGTCTGTCTTTTCTCAATCCTTCACCACCCCCTCTCAGGCTCACCGAACCTGGCTGTGCTGGCACGGCACAGTATTGACTTAGTACTATTAAGAGATAATAGGGTTTAGGTTTTTGCCATCTTTCCTCACAGAGCAGTTACATCCCACTCCTTGGTTAATATTCAGTGTTTACATTATTATGACTAAGAAAGTCTTGATCTTTGCCAAGCCAAGGTAAGACAAACAATGATCAATGAGTTTATTTACTTACAAGACAACTCTCTAATTTGTATGGAATTAATAGTTGATCTTGTTTTTTGGTTTAGTTTTCTAAGTTGCTGATTCCTGCTACATGCTCCCATAGATCTGTCATAATCTAGCAATCTATACCCTAGTGCATATCAGATGCTGTTTCAATTCCATACACTCCCACCTTGTTTCTGGAGATGCATTCCCAGACCCTTTCTATTCAGTGGTTCTGAAATGAGCTGCTTATTTATATTATTATTTATTATTTTTAGAGAGAAAGGGAGGAGAGAGAAACATCAATGTGAGAGGGAAACATTGATGTGAGAGAGAAACATGGATCAGTTGCCTCCCATAGATGCCCCAACCAGAGATGGAACCACAAGCTAGGTATGTGCCCTGCCTGGAAATCGAACCTGCAACCTTTCCGAGTATGGCGAGGCACTCCAATCAACTGAGCCACCTGGTCAGGGCTAGCTGTTTCATATCTTAGGTCTTTTCTTTGCTGTTCTCCTTATTTCTTTGATTCTAAGTCTTTGTTTTAATTTTCTAATTTTCACTGGAACAGATCCTTCAGAAAATGCTTAAGACAGTATGCCTGGGAAATACATTTTTGAATCCTTAAATGTCTTAAAATATCTATTTTTCTTACCCTTACAGTTAATTGATGGATAGGTTGTATGTAGAAGTGTGGGTTCTCTCAGAATTTTGATGATATTTCTCCATTGCTATGTGCCTTCCAGTGCTGCTATGGACTAATCCATGATAGTCCAATCCTTGATACAATGTTGTTCATCATTTTTTCTCTCTCAGCCTGAGATAGTTTAGTACCTTATCTTTATTAATGTGGCCTTGCTTTAGAATGCTTTTAATGCATTGACCCAGGTCCTTGCTGGGACTTTTAGATATGGAAACATGTTCTTTAGATCAGGGAAACTTTTTAGAATTTTTTGTTTTCATTTTATTTTTTTCCCTACCCC